GGGTCCTGGGCAGCGGGGCCGCGGCTTCGGCTCGGGAGAGCGCGGGCCATGTGGCACCTGTGGCTGGCGCTGTGCGCGCTGGCGCTGCTGTGGCCCGGGGTCCTGGCTGGCTGCGCCGAAGCCGGGCGCTGCTGCCCGGGCCGGGACCCCACCTGCTTCGTCCGCGGCTGGAGGCTGGATCGCGTCTATGGGACGTGCTTCTGCGACGAAGCCTGTCGCCTCACCGGGGACTGCTGCTTCGACTACGCCAGGGCGTGTCCAGGTGGGTGGCCGGGCCGGCTGGGGCGCCAGCTGGCCTAGAGCAGGCAGGGCTTGGCACCAAAGACCTCAGCCCAGGAGACAGGTGCCCTCAGCCCCTTCCGTTATGGGTTGCCCGGTCCTTCTGTCAGGAACATCCAGCTTGGGCCACCCTGGAGTTGCCATCCTGATAGGTAGTGCCAGCACCCTCTCCTCACTGGGATCCAGGCAGAGGGGCTGAAGGCTGCGGCCCTCTGGAAGGGTGTGGGTCGCCTCTGTGGGGATTACTCCTGCTGGGTAGGGCCCCAGGTTCCAGGGGCGTGACCTGGGCAGACCGTTGGTGCTCCTTCTGTCAACCCTCGGGATTCTTGAAGCTGCAGAGGGACGGTGAGGGCAGGAAGCTGTGATGTCCCACTCTCTGCCAAGTATGCCCCAGAAGTGGCTTTGTTCTGGAGAAGTTCTTGGGAACTGTTGTCCTTACCTCTGGACCCCAAATCATAGCACAGACAGGAGGTGGTGTCCCTTTGGAGACGTTCAAGAGGTTCTTGGAATTCAGTTTTATTTCTCTGACATGATCAGGGTTTGTATATGGTCCATATTCCTTTTGAAATTGATAGTTTTCCTTTAGGGTCAGTCTTCCTCATTTTTTAATTTTCCACAGTTCCTTTCCCCTCTGGAGGGTCAATAAATGCCAGTTTAATTGAATGAGAGGTAAAGGAAGAAATGGTGAGTATAAACCTAAACAACCACGTGTGTGTCAAAGAAGCCAACCTGGAGATCATAGGCCTGCTCCTTGCTAATCCCACTGCTACTAGAGCCACGTACTGGTTAGGGTTTGGGCTCAAGGAGCTCAGTGTGTGGGGTCTTCAGCGTCTTCTAGGAAGAAGAGCCCACGGTGAGCCACCCCCAGGAAAGGATGCCAGGAGGACTGAGGATCCTTTCTGCCTCCTTTTTAGAAAAATAGATGGAATAAGTTTTTTTTTTTTTTTTTTTTTTTTTTTCCTTCTGCCTCTCTACTGAGTGAGGAGGTCACCAGGCCCTGGCCAGGCTGGTCCCGCAGGCCTGATGCTAAAATCAAACAGTAGAACAACATTAATCCTTGACCCTGGCTGACACCTAATGATTTACCTATGAATAATGATGCTCATTTATTCTTTTTGTTTATTTAGTTATTTGTTTGTTTATTTAATGTATTTGGTACGAGGTCTCATTAGCAGCTCAGACTTGTAGTGATCCTCCTGTTCTCAGCTTCCTCAGCGTTGGGATTATAGGCCGGAACTCTGAGGCCAGCTCAGTGCACCTGGGGCAAGGGCTCGCATGGTGTGTGGCGCATGGAATCGAAACCGGGCCCCTGTGCTTGCTTAAGCAGGTGCTTAGTCTGCTGAGCTATCTCACTGGCCCTTCCTTCATTCTTTTTTTTATTTTTTAGGACAGGGTCTATAGGGGCTACAGAGTCTCACTATGTCGATAGAACTCATAGTGATCCTTCTGTTTACAGCCTCCCAAACGCTGAAATTACAGGTGCACACCACCACGCCCAGTCTCCATAGCTGGCTCAGTGTACCCCAAGGGCTCAGTGCACCCCAACATGGCCAGCATGGGATCGAACTCCTGGCCCCTGCCCCCTGCGTCTGCCTTAGCAGGTGCTTTAATCTGCTGAGCTATTTGGCTGGCCCCTATTCTTTTTAACAAGTTTCTTTGCCTTTCCTGCTGTAAGGCTATGTATGATATGTTACTGCTGAAGGAAGGTGCCATAGTCAGTTATTTAGAAGACGCAGCACCTTGGGCACTAGTCCTCCTCATAGCATCCTAAACTCTAGTTTGTCTTGGTTACCTTGATCATGCGAGGCAAGCCTCTGGCAGAATCCCTTCCTCTCATGAGGGCTGTACTACCTTTGAAAGATTATTATAGAATTTGTGTAGCCCAGGTAATGTGCCATGTCTGGGTAAAACAGGGATGGCAAGATGATGTGTCTTGTTTCTTCCTGTATGCTTGGTCATGCTGTCACATAGTTCCAGGGTTAATCTGTCATCCATGTTTCATGCCTCAATGCCTCTTTTGCATCATTATTCTTCCTTTTTTTTTTTTTCTTTTTTTTTGACAAAGCAGGACAATGTGCTATGCTGAGTAGTGTGCAATTTAAAACTTAGGAATTATTTCTGGAATTTTCCATTCAGTGTTTTCAGGCTGTGGTAAGTGAAAACATGGGAAGTAAAACTGGAGGTAAAGGGAGCTGCTACCAATATAGGTGGTCCATGATGTGGTCTGGGGTAAAAACTGGAAAGATTCCAGGAATTCAAGGAAGGCTTCTCAGAAGAAGGAAGTCATGAGCAGGCTGGACTTGGAGAATGAGCAAGGGTCTCCAGGAGAAGGGGGAGGGTGCGGTGCTCTAGGAGAGAAGCCTGAGGTCACTGTCCAGCAGTTACCATGGAGGTCAGACTGTGTGCCAGACCCGGTGCTAGGCTGTGAGGTTAGAACAGTGAAGAGGACAGAGGGAGGACATGGCCTGACCTAGGAAGATTCCGGGACCCAACAGGGATGCGGAAAAGACAGGAGAGTGTAGCGAGAGGAACTTGCTGTGTGATGAGGCCTCACAGTGCTATGATGAGTTGCAAAACCCGCAATGTCCTGATTTGGTTACAAAGAAATTGCTTATTTTTAGTCTAGGAGGTAAAAATAGTAAAGCCAAGAGGCAGTTCTTTTGGACTAGGGATTTAGTGAGTGAGGACAGAGAAGATGAGGTGAGCGTACTATCTTATGAAGAGCTGAGAAAGAAATCCCAGCAAGTGCTTACCCAGGAGAAGGGTTCTGAGTGGTGGTGGATGAAGCAGCTGTGGCCAGAAAAGGAAACGGTGTCTGACAGACCTCAGAAAGAGCATATTTGGGAGCAGGGGCACAGCTGAGGACCTTGTAGACATAGACAGAAGCAGCTCAGGGCTGAAAAGATTTCTCCTGTTAAGTTCTCTGTGCCTGAAGTTTCTTGTGAAAGGAAGGAGAAAATAGAGACAATGGAAGCTGGCCAGGTGGTGAGACTTGTGTTTGTGCTGGCAAAGCTGAGGGGAGAGGAAGGCCCTGTGGTCCTAGAGGCTGCCCTTCTTGGGCTGGCCCAGCATGGCTGTGTGGACTGTGGCCTCACAGCCTCACCGTTCTGGGCCTGCCTGCTCTGCCCAGAACTGCCGGGGCAGTGGGATATGGACTGGGGCAAACCTTGAAATGAAGGCTTCTATCTTTTCTACAAAATTTTCCTTCCCAGTGTTTATTGTTCACTTGCGAGCTTCTCCCTAGAAGAAGCCCAAGTGCCTCGATTTTGCCCTTCATGTGACAGAGTGGTAGGTTCAGTCTTTGCCCTGCCCCTACTGGCTTTGGGACCAGGTTCATTCAGCTCATTTACAGAAGGACAGGGATAAAGCCGGCAGCTGGGATTGTCCAGTAGGGAATGCTGGGAAAGCCTGGGCCCAGTGCTCGGCAGGCAGCATTTGTGGGTACCAGTGAACATCTTATTTGGTTAAGTATTTATATAATTTATGACAGCGTTTTAAAATGTATATTAATGTTTGATCATATGTATCTTTCACTGTACTCCAGCCATATATACATGGTTCATCCTACCAACAATTCTGTAGGAAAAGCAGGTCTGTTGCACTGCCCTTTGAGTACAACTGACAGGGTCAAAGTCCAAAAATTCCTAAGGTTTAAATCATTGTTTTCTTACCTCATTTGGTGATAAGAATCTTACCAGCCCTAAATTGATAGAACACTGTTGATAATCTTTTTAATAACTCCATGCCATGTAAATATATGTTGCCTCAAAATCATTAGCATGCTTAGTAAGGGTCTGACCTAGACCTGGGGAGAAGACACGCAGCACAAGGTATCTGCCCAGAGGGCCTGTGCCAACCTGCGCTTGCATTTGTTTTGGTTCGCTTTGTGGTATTGGGGAGTTGAACCCAGAGCTGCTCTCCCACCGAGCTGCATGTCCAGCCCTTTTTACTTTGAGAGAGGGTCTCAGTGAATTGGGCTGGGTGACCCTGAGTCCGTCATCCTTCTGTCACAGACTGCCCAGTAGCTGGGATTGCAGGTGTGCCACCACACCAGGCTATCTTAGCTTTTCACAGATGTGAGAGCTGAGACTTTCCAGGGGCTCCCACAACTCAAGGTCATGTGAACAAGCAGTAGAGCCAAGACTTTGAACCCCTGCTGTCTGATTGCAAGTGGCCACCAGTCATGCTATGGGCACCAGCTCATGGTTATTATATATTCCCCAATGTATTAAGATTCACAGAATCTTAGTTACTGTTTATACTTACAACCATTTTGCCTCTTAGAATCCTCTTTCACAAGGCTGTGTTACTGTTGTTGCTGCCCAAAGCTTCTTGGACTGATACTGCATTCAGTGTGAGTGAAAACTGTAACCACATCAGTGTAACTAAGCTTGCTTTACTTCTGCTTCTTCTGCTTTTCTCATCTTGATAAGCACATTTTGGAAGGAGTGTCGCTAGGAGATGAAATATTGACATTTCTTTTTCTAAGAAGAAAATTTGGGGGCTTTTTTTCTCATGTAAAAATAAAAACATTAGCTGTATACAGTCACACCTGCCTGTAATCCCAGCCACTTGGCAGGCTGAGGCAGGAGGATTGCAGGTTCAAAGCCAGCCTGGGCAATGTAGGGAGACCTTGTCTCAAAATAAAAAATGAAAAGGGCTGAAGATGTAGCGCAGAGACAGAGCAGTCGTGTGAACTCTGGGGTTTCACCATTAATGCCACAAAACAGCAACAAAAACCCCATCATCAAAGCTGTAGAACAAGTAATCAAAGAAATCTCTTCTGCAATGAATCATCTCAGAAAATCTTGTTACAATGACTGCCAGGATTTGACATCAATGAATGGAACCTAGGTCCCCCCTCTGCCAATAATTAATTTTCCATTGGCTGTGCCTGACCAGGGAGAGGGGGAAGTAGAGAGGACAGATGAATTCCAGTTGCCCTGAGAGAAGTTTCTGGAAGCCTCGATTACTGGGTGCGTT